ACGGGCGGTGAACAGAGAACATTTTTCAGGGCAGAGAAGGCAGCATGCTCTTTCTCCCCCCACGTAAAAGCGACCCCCTTCCGTAACAAGTCCGTCAGCGGCGCTGTTAACCGTGCCATGTCGGGGACGAACCGACGCACGTAATTGACGAACCCCAAAAAGCTCTGTAGTTCCGTGATATTCGTCGGGGGGTGCCAGGCTTTCACCGTGTCTAACTTCTTTGGGTCGATTTCGACCCCAGCCTCCGAAATAACGTGCCCCAAAAACTCTAGCCGATCCTGAAAAAACTCGCACTTGGAACCCTTTGTCAGTAGCCGATGCTCGTCTAAAATTTTAAAGACTGCTTCCAGATCTTCGAAGTGCTGCTGCTTGTCGCGACTGTGGACGAGGATGTCGTCGAGGTAAACTCTCATGCATTTATCTAAAAGTGGCCTAAACGCCTCGTTCGTGGTCATCTGAAATGTCGCTGGTGCGTTTGTCAGCCCGAAGGGCATCACGGTGTACTCGAACGACCCGTACCTAGTCCGGAAAGCTGTTTTGGCGCAGTCCGATGGTTCGACCCTAATCTGATGGTAACCTCCTCGTAAATCGATTTTCGAAAAAACCTGTGCTATTCGCAGTTGGTCGATCAGTTCGTCGGCGCGGGGAATGGGGTACCGAGACTTGACTATTACCCTGTTGAGCGCTCGGTAATCGATGCACATGCGAAACCCTCCGTCTTTTTTTGGCGTGAACAGTATCGGTGCGGCGAACGGTGACGAGCTCGGTCGGATGAATTTCTTCTCTAATAAGTAATCTAACTGCTTCCTCAGTTCGTCGAGCTCGGGTTGTGTAACTCTGAACTGGCGCTGTACAGTTGGCTGTGCCCCCGGTTCTAATTTTATTCGGTGGTCATGTGCTCGCTGAAGTGGCAGTCCTTCCGGTAAGTCGTCGGGGAAAATCTCGGGGTATCGTTTCAACAGTTCTTGCAGTTCGGGCGGTACTGCTCCCAGCAGTTTCTAAAAATCACTCGGCTGCTCTGCTCCCTCTACTACTGCAATGTCTACTGCGTCCACGTCAGCTCCAGCAGCGACAGCCCGTTTCATGGTGACGGCTTTAACGTGTATCGTTGAAGACTCGGGCGACTGCCAGCGAGGTAGTTCGACCCAGTTACCGCTATTTCGCACAGTGCAGCTACCCGTCGTCAAGTCAATTCGCGGGTTATACCGTTGCAGCCAATCACGTCCCAGTAAAATGCCGTGCCCATCTAGTGTCGTCGCGAGCATTTCCTGTGTAAATCCGAAATTTCCCCCGCAGCGGTCTTTGACTCTCTCCACCCTTTCCCGTATGGCCAGTGGCGTGCCGTCAACTAAGCGTGCGTCTATCTCAGGTAAACAACGGCTAAGTTTCAGTTGCAGTTTTCGTGCGGTTGCGGTATTAACTAAACTGTGACTGGCTCCTCCGTCGATAAAAATCTTCACTGCTGCTCCCTGTATTTTCCCGTGGATCAGTACTTGGCAATCCGTCGCAGTACCCTCCTTATTCGTCCGAGCCTGATCGATAGCATGAATCAGTACTGTGACTCGGTGAGGGTCGGTGGGGTTGGGCGAGCAGGCAGTCTCGTCAGTAGTTGGCCCGATTCCTACTGACTGCTGGCGTTTCCCTGCCTTGGAGACTCCCTCCCCTGCTCTGCTCCGCGGCGCCTCAGCTCCTCTGGGCATTCACTCTTGCGATGGCCCGGCCTATTGCAAGCAAAGCAGCGTCCCTTGAACGGCGCAGCAGCTGCATTTGTCGCAACGGCATGTACGGTGGCGTGCTCGATCGGTCCCCGAGGGCGATGTCCATAGTAGGACCCCGGTCTCGGACGGCGCAAAATGTCGATTTTCTCAGCGAGCGCGAAAATCTCGTTGAAATTCGAGAGCCCGCGTAGCATGATCTCGTGCGAGATGCCTGGCTTCAGTCCTCCGACGTAACGGTCCACCCGCTCCGCCTCGTGCATGTAGCCGACTTGCTCGCATAATGCGAGGAAACCGCTCGTGTAGTTTTGAACCGACCCGAGCTGCCGCCAAGTGCGCAGTATCTGACGCGCCGAAGTAGAAGCCGCGTTGGCTCGAAGCGCGCCCAAAGCCCTGCGCACCACGCATCCCACGTGCTGTACTGGGCGGTTTCGCAGAATGAACTCCAAGTGACAGCTGGACCCGTGGGCCCTTCCTCTTGCGACGGTGGCTCGTAGGCGCGTGGCGACGTCACGATGACTCGCCACCAGTCCATGGCGGGGCCCCTCAGCAGCGAGACGGCGTATCTGATCTTCGCTGCGTCCAAATCGACGTAGTTTGCGTCGAAAAATACGTTCATCGTGAAGACCCACGACTGAACCGTTGGACCTTCATGCTGACTTGGGTCGAAACAGGGCGGGCGCTGCGGCTTCAGTGGCATTGGTGCCATGATGGCCTGGTCGCGACTTGTCGCCGCGAACTCCACGTGCCGACGGGCATCACGAGGCTTCCGCGGGCTTAGTGCGACCCTGTTTCTCCCAATGCCCGGCATCGGTTGGGCGGCGCCATCACTGGCTGCGCCTGAGCGCTGTCCCACGCTGCCGTTCTGTGTTGGTGTGCCTGATGAAATGACAATCGGCTCCTCTGATTGTATAGGTGCATTTGCAGGTGCGTGTGGTGAAGGGCTGATTTTATCAGGGTAATTACCCTGATTTCAGGGTGATTTCAGGCTTTCCACTTCGTGGAGACTGAAATTTCAGAGTTATTGAATTTCCAGCCCTGATCCAATCAGAGTAATAGTTTAGCTATCCCTGATTTTGAGTACAGTGTAACAGACTAGGCTGTTAGTGGCCCCTGACTTAACAGAGTATCGACTGTGTGGACCCTGCCTTATCGGGAAGAAGTTTCTCGGAAGTTTCCTTCCGATGACCCCGCCTTGGATTGATCGCGGTGATCCCCCCACATGTGCGTAATCCCCCCCCTTCCCGCTTTATCGAGACGAAGTTTCTTCGAAACCTCGTTCTGATACACCTACCATCGAGATCGCGTGAATCTGCAATGTCAGATATACTTTGCTGGGATTGGTCGAAATAGGCTCTGACAGCGGAAATCTGTGACTCGAACAGGTGTGACTCGCCCGTTCGATCGGTACACTCGCTCCAGAAGGAACGCCTCTGAGGGTACAGTCGCAGCGTGTCTGATGCATGCCAGCTGAAGAGATCCAATTGGGCATGGTAATAAGACAGGGAAACGTTACACTCGCACACCAGATAGGTCAATCACACCCGCCCTGCACAAATCAGTCGAGCGTACAGCCAGCAGGAAACACAGCGCGCAGACTTTATGGAGAGTGGGGATATTTTCCCCGGTAACAAAGCGCGCGTTACTACTCTGATGTTCAGTTCTCGACCCTGAACAATCAGTGTTAACTACTTCACAACCCTGAGCAATCAGGGTACTGCTTTTCTGGAAAATGTGCACCCATAATAGAGGGGGAATTTTTTCCCCAGAATCAGGGAGGCTTAAAATGAAACGTCAGCCCTGGTGTGGTGGCGCCGGAGTATTCACCGTGGATTGCTGACGCGCGGAGTCACGTTCCGCCGTGAGCGTCGCAATTTCGAGCGCCGATTCCTCAACTTGGCGCACGAGACGGTCGAGTTGCTCCTGCGTCAGTGTCGCGAGAGTAAATTCGGCCATGGCGGGGGTGTCACGCAAGCTCAGCGAGAGCCTCCATCGTGGCCGTGCGTGCTTACGAGAGAGCACTACGAGCGGCGGTGCTGTGTCGCTGAGAGACAGATACCCCCCCCCCCCCATTGAGATAGTGGGGAAGCGAAGGTGTGGGTGCGGTCCGAGAAGAGATCGTAGGCTCTGAATACCAAGTGTTACGAGTGCAATTGAGTGAACGAGCGGGAATTGCACTATTGAAGCAAGAGTACAATGAGCGAAGGCATCAGCGAAGAATATACCGTGATCTCCCGGTTACAAGACCCCCCCGCATAAAAGCCCCGTGGGTCTTCTATCCGGACCAGGGGTCTTTTATTAAGTCAGTCCTGGAGAGGACCCGTCTTTTGACCCAAATCATTATAAGACCCCCCCTTAGGCTTTAATGAGTGGTGTTAGTTCATGAGCTGGTTAGCGAGTCACACAAAAAACCACCAAATTCACTTTGTCAGGCGAATTTGTGGTCAAGGGAGTCAAGATGCTACATCAATCACGCGTTTTTGCCGACCTTCAGGCAACAAATGCTGACGTGCCTGTCATTATTAGGCATTTCTGAACGTGCGGAAAGGAATCTGGGAGACTCGAGTGCGAGAATCCGAGAATGAATTTCCGCGCCGTGAAGGAATCCGAAATTCAGTACAGAAATTTCGAATTTCTTCAACACTGCACTACAAAATCCATTTTTCAGTAATTAATAGATGTCCAGGGGTCTTATGCACTTCATGTCATTACATAAGACCCCACAACCCAGTTCGAGCACATTTAGGATAAGACCCCCGGGTCTTCTAGGCGGGAGATCACGGTATAGCGAAACTACAGTGGTAACAGTAATGGACTGTGGTTGTCGCGCGACGGGCCTAGGACTGATGTTTGGGGAAATGTCGAAGCGGAGGTCCGGAGCGCGGGTTACCCTCCGAGCCGTGAGGTCGGGGTGCGACGTGCGAAGGTGGCGGGAGGATTGTCGATGCGAGGGTTGCGAGTGGTAACGGTGCTGACTGTGGTGCTACAGTGGTGTACGCGCTGAACGGGGACGCGAAGTAAGGAAAAGGAATTTTCCTTACAAATACTCCATTTACACGTACGGTATTGAACTAGCAACATTAAGGTGAATCCCACTGTGAACATTACCGATCCTAAACCCCGTGTTTTTATACTTCTGACCCATTTAGCGAAGCAGCCAAACCTCCACCTGCCCCCAAAGCCCATTCTAATGCATAAGCTCTTCACCATCACCACATTGCTCGGCTCCTCGCTCCCACCCATTGTCAGTAGCCCACAACGACCTAGACATACTGAAATAGCGCCATGACCGGAGAAGGAGAGAACAAGGAAGTCGAAGCAGCTGCGCCAGCTGTCGAAACCACCAGCGCAGCGTCTGTCGAGGGGGAGAAACCGGCGGAGACCCCCAAGGAGCCCGAGACCACTGGCGGTGATTCCGCGCCAGCTGGGGAGGATGCCGCGCCGGCTGGGGAGGATGCCGGGAGTAAAAAGCGCAAAGCTGAAGGTGAAGCGGGGGAGGAAGAGGGTGATGCCAAGGAAACCGAAGGGGTGAAACCGAGCGAAGCAGGAACCAGCGGGGACGGCGGCGATGCGCAAGGGAAGAAGAAGAGCGGGCCTGTGGTGCTGGGACCGCAGACATTCGCCACCGGGCTCCAGATGTTCAACTTCTTTCTCGACCTTCTTCGCGGCTGGCCTGTCAACCTGGATATCAACCAGGTGAGCCAGTCTTCTAGGACGCAAACCACGTCGCGTTTGGTCTATCTTAACGCGCTTACGCAAACGGGCCCTTCAGACGGCGTAAACCCTAGTTCACGTCCAAGTCTCGGGCTTTCTCAGGGTTTTGCTTTTAGGTTCTGGTTGATTCTTTCCATTGAACCTCTTCATGGGGTCTGATCGCTTTCCGCCTAGCGCAAACTTGAATGTTATGTACATGGCCCTTGAACACCAAAGGCCCACCATGTACCTCAGGAGTTGTAATAATCCCTGCTCTCCTCCCCTCTCTTTCCCCATCCCCCCTCCCCCCCCTCTTCCCCCCCCTCCCCCCCCCCTCCCCTTTCCCTCTTCCACCACCCCCCAACCCCCCCTTTCCTTCTCCCCTCCCTCATAACCCTTTTCACCCCTCCCCTGCTCCTCAGTACGAGCACATGGTACTGCTGGACCTGCTAAAGAAGGGCCACAGCGACCCCACGTCCAAGGTTGGAGCGGGCATCCGTTCCTTCCAGATCCGCCCGCACCCAGAGTTCCACTCGCGCTGCTTCTTCCTCGTGCGCTCTGACGGTACTGTGGACGATTTCAGCTACCGCAAGTGCGTCGAAGCCCTCATGGGCCTGCCGCAGGAGTTCACGCTCAGTGCTGCTAAGGAGTGGGACAGCAATGGGGAGGGGCACGGTGGAGGTGGCGGTGGGGGTGGGTGGAGAGGGAGAGGCCGGGGAAGAGGTGGGGGTGGCCGTGGACGGCCTTTCAAGAGGGGACGGGGGAGGTGGTAGTAGCCATACTGAGAAGAACGCCATTGTTTATGTGGAGGTGGATATATTCTTTGTTCTTAGTGGAGGTGCAGGTTGTAGTGTACCGTATTTGATTAGGCATTTGGAAAGTTGGCATGAAGATGTACGTCTTGCATGCTGCAAAAAAAGAGCTGAGTGGCCCTCATAGTACTGTTTTCATTTGTGCATCTAGGACATCATTTTCCAAAAGTCCTTTGTAGGTTGAAATGAGTTTTATTACAACGCCTAACCACGCTCCCAGCGGTACCAACTTCGTTGCTGAAATTAGTCTTATTACAACGCCTAACCACACTCCCTTCGCATCCCAAATTCCAAAAGTCACTACATGCCTGATTGTAAATAATATCCAGCATGGCCCTCGTCGTGCGCGGTTTGCGGGGAGCGGCGGCGTGGCCCGTTGTGCGAGTTCGAGTGTCCTCAGTCATGCCAGTATTTCGCGGGCTTGGGACGAACAGCGGAGATCATGGTGACAGCGACTTGTTTGCTGCTGCTCACACGGATAATAGCCGTGCAAATGCGTGGAAGGAGTTCCAAGCTTTGCTTGTTTGCCCTCTTTCGGGAGAACCTCTGAGGCAAGCCGTTTGATACACTGCCTTGATTTTTCCTGTGCCCTGTTACGCTACTTTGCACAGAACATTCTCGTGTCCATACTGTTCTAAGGTTTCTAGGTTCTGCCGCATGTGTACTCCGTGACGATCCGCATTCTTCACGTCCTTTGCGTATGATGAGTCCGTGCTCTGTGACGATTTACTCTCTCTCACGACTTCTCAGGTTCGACAGCACAACGTCCGAATACATTAGCGACTCAATTGGTGTAGCATATCCTGTGAGTTCATTACTCTCTGTTGTCTTCTTCTCCATCTCCCCTTGCCATTGTTCCTGAAGCCATTAGTATTTCTTAATGCATGCGATTTTCCTCTGCACGTCTCTTGCTCACATGGCACAGGTTGTGAATAGAATTCCCTTTCTTTCTCCACACCATGGAAGGATAATCGCAGCCTCCTCGCAATCCCCGGTGGACGCCCCACAATGACCTAGCTGATTCTTGCTGTCACTTGCAAGGATACATGTACGGTAGATCCATTTTTAGTTGGTCATGCTGTATTAGAGTTTAAAAAACTGCTAGGCCAGGCCAGTCCGTATGTAGGTTGCGAGCACACTTGTGGTAATATGTGTAATATGATGTAAGAAAGCAGTTTTGATTTATGGGTCCAGTGATTATGTGACCAAAATGATGATAATATAGTGTGGCGTGCATCCCCCCTCTAATCTAGGGCACAGGATGACGTAAGGTACGTGTATTCGTTTGTGGGTGGGAAGTCCCACGAAATTCACTGTAAGGTGGGTGGTTGGGCGAAGCAGCGTAAGTGACTCGTGGCAGAATGATGGAGCAGACAGCCAGACCTTCTTGCCACGTCATTCGAAGCTTGTCGTTTTTCCCCACGTCGACAGGCAAGAAGTGAGCACAGACGAAGTGCATTCACTTTCGCCACAAGCCTGGCTCTTCCATCAGCGTTGGGACTTTCGCGTGTCGAGGCAACAGCGCGACGCGATGCGATCATCATCAGCATAAGCCATCACTGGACCAAGGGATCCGAGCCAAGTCCATACCACCCCTCGGAGAGATTCGCGGCAGCCCCCGACCACTTTCCAGCAAACCGCACCTTCAGGCCTGGTGCGGCATGTGGCTCGGCGACTGCGTGCTGTCGCCTTATATCGGCTGCCTTCGCGAAGCGTCGGTTGAGCAAGTGAGGTGGCGGCTCCAAGACAGCACACATCATCACCATCAGCAGCAGTACAAGATCAATGGTCGGCGACTCGTTTCGAGAGAATGTGGTAACAGCAAAATATACTGCGGCGACACACCTAACCACACGTTCTTCCTGTAGGCTGACCCTCTGCGAAACAGAACCAACTCCGTCCATTCTCCTCTATCTGCCTGTCTTGTGCCAACTTCTGGCTCTCATTCCTTCTTCCAGGTGCTCTCGTCTCTTCAGCTGCAGGAATTGCTCTTGGAAGAGCTGTTTTGACGAGTGCAAACGGGGAAACGGCAGTTGGCGCCATGGGAGAGGGTATCCGAGACACGGGTCATGATTTGCGAAATGGAGCAGACTCCGCCACTCGAGCTGAACAGGAGGCGATGATAAACGGGGCGAATGGCGGGGTGAATGGTGGGGAGGCGGGAAGTCATGACGAGAAGCGGACTCAAGGCGGCGCGACGGATAAGGCAACGGAGAGAGGTGGAGCAGACGAGGGGCCCAGCAGCAGTAATGGACCGCCAACTTCAGATAAAGCGCAACGTCATCATGAGGCACGTGCATTCTCTTTTATCTCGGTCCTTCGACCTTGTAGCATCCGCCACTTACTCCCTTAGTTCGCCAATCCCTCTGCTATCTCCTTCGAGTAAGATTCTCCGCTGATTTCTGAATCTTGCAACCCTCTCGCATCGCGGAAAGTGTACACCGCGAGTGTTACCGTTAGAGTTGTTTGTGCCGCCGCCGTTCAGAGGGAGACTTGGTCCCTACAGTAGTTCGCTGTAGGGGTGGATCACCCTTCGTTGTAAAGTGGGAGGACATGACTCGCTCGTCGCTCCTGTGAAGCAAAAGTGTGCATAGCCGCAGCGTAAAGATCATTATCGTGCAAATCGGAAGCATGCGAAGCAGAAGCGTGCACAGTAGGAAGCGTGCGAAGCAGAAACTTAAAGGCACCTGATGGATGGGATGCTCAAAGATGCCGCGACTCTCCGGAACTAGCAGGTTGAAGGAACTTCATTGATGAAAGGGCAGGATGATTTTTGGTTTGACTCACAAGTCGTGAGCCAGGTAGTCTGGCGGCGGATAGAGCCTTGCTGCTGCTCGGCCTGCCAGGAGCGCCCAATCATTGACCCGACAGTTTCTCGCCTGACCTGACGTGACCTGATCTGACTTGACCTTTGACAATCCGACAATCTGACTCTGACATGATGTGTGGACGCTCTTTGGTGCTGTGACGATGCGCTGTGGTGTGAGCAGGAGGAGGGAGAAGAGGAGGAACACGTGCAGGTATCACCAGAGGCGAAGGCCAATCCCTTCTCCAAACTCATCTTCTGGTCCGTCCGCGGTTCCTCCTAGCCCCTCTCCCCTCCCGTCCCGTCGCCCTCTTGCCTTTTCGCACACGCACTGACGCGTTCCCACTCACTTACTCACACACAACGCGCTCCCTCTCCCCCTTCCCCCCTCCCCCCCGCCCCCTCCCTTTCCCCCACTTCTTCCCATATCCTCTTTCGCGCAATTGTCGTGGTATCTCGTCTCACTTCCCGCACGCTTTCCCCCATGTGCGCGGCGCATGTTGTAATCGGCGCGCAGGTGGCTGAATCCGCTGATGAACGCGGGGTATCGCAAGCCGCTGGAGCAGGCGGACCTGCCGCCGCTTCCGCCATGCGACGACGCCAAGGCCGTCTCCATAAAGTTCGCGCACGTGTGGGCGCAAGAGGTCCGCAAAGACAAGTGCGTGCCCACTCCCTCCACTCCCCTCTTCCTCGCGCGCGCGCGTGCAGCGCGAATTCCCCGTGTGCTCATGCTGTTGCGCGCAAATTGCTGAGCGGTTACTGCTTCGTCCTTACTGGTTGCGCTGAGTCTGTCATAGCGCGTCTCGCCTCGCTCCGACTTCTCACCTCCAGCCCTACTCTCAACCTTCAGCGCCACTCCTGCCTGGTTTCCCCCGTGTCCCCGTGTCTCCCCTGTCCCCTGTCCCCCGTCTCCCCCTCTCCCCGCGCCATGCGCGCCGTTGCCCTTGCAGGCCGTCGCTGACGCGCGCGTTGTTCCGGTGCTTCCGCTACCGCCTCATCATCGGCGCGCTCGTGCAATTCGTCAACGTGCTGCTGCAGGCCACGCCGCCCATCTTCCGTACGTTCGCCGCCCCTCCCTCCCTGCACCCCGACTCCTTTCCCCACTCTCCCCCAGCACCTCTCCGCTGTCCTCTCTACTTTCCGCTCCCCTCCTCTTCTTCCCCTCCCCTCCCCTCCCCTCCCCTCCCCTCCCCTCCCTGGTACGTATGCCTGCTCTTTCTGCCCATGCTTAAAGCCCTGGCCCATGGCATGCCGTGTGTGCTGTCCATGTTCCCGCTCTTTCTCTCTAATTCGTCATGTGTCCCTCTCGCCCCCCCTTGTGTGTCTCCCACCATGTGTGTGTGCGAGCAGTGAATGCGGTGCTGCTGTTCATCCAAGGGACTCCTACAGACCATTTCATGAAGAAAATCTTCGGTACGCCCCTCCTCTCCCTTCGCCTCCCTCTCTCCCCTCCCGCTCCCCTTTCCCAACACCCCACTCCGTCTCAACTGCCCCTACAACCATCATACCTTTGCCCTCCCACCCAGCCATTCCTCCTCCCCTTCCGCCATGCACCCTTCCTCCCGCTTTCTTCATCCGCTCAATCCCACTTCCTAGTACCTCCCACCTAAATCCCCATCTCCACAACCCGAACCCCACCCTCTCCCCCTCCCGCGCACCTTCCCGCCACCAGGGGACAACTACGGGTACTATGCGGCGGCGGCGCTGTTTGTGGTGCCCACGATACGGTCGCTACTGGACGCACAGTACAATCAAATCATGTTCCGTCTCGGCGTGCATGTGAGTCCCCTCACCTCCGCACATGCAACCCTTGTTCTACATTGCCCCTACTCTACGCTCCACTGCCCGTTGCGCTGGCCCTCAGAATGCCCCATCCACCCGTGAGCGCCCCACCCAATCTAGCGCAAGGCTTCTTGTACCACTCACTCGTCTGCCCTTTGCTTCCCTTCCCTTCCACCCCCCAGCTAGCCACCTCCCTTCCTTCTCCTCCTTGAATGGAGTTCAATTCTCTCCATCCATCCATCCATCCATCCATCCATCGCCTGGCTGTTCCCCCTGCCATGGTGTGCCATGGCGGTGTGGCGTGGCATGGTGTGGTGTATCCCTTGTGAGAGCAGGTGAAAACGGCGCTGGTGGAGATAGTATATGACAAGTCACTAAAGCTCTCCAACGGTGCCCGCCAGGGCAAATCGGTGGGGGAGATCGTGACTCTCATGCAGGTGGACACGGAGAAGGTGTCCATGGTCACTCCCTTCCTGCACTTCACATGGAGCGGCATCCTGCAGGTAACCACACAGTACAGCCGCCTGCATCTTCACTTGCCGTCTCTCACTCCCTCCCCTTAAGCACCACTCTCGTTCAACTTCTCCCTCGCCGCGATTCCCCCATCCTCCCCTTGCCCTGTTTTAGTTTTTTTTTTCTTTCGATCTGCAACAAGCTGTCTTCAGAGCTATGCGTCCCCTCCCCGTCTCCCCCACAACCTTCATTCGCACGCTTCCTCGCTATTGTTGACTGCCGTGCCCTGCATCTCCCCCTGTGCGTGTTCCCTCCTGCCCCACCATATGCCTGCGTGTGTGTGGTGTGCATGAATGTGTAACACAACACAACACAACACAACACAACATCAGATATTCATCAACCTTGGCCTACTCATCTACTACATCGGCTGGAGCGCTGTGGCCGGGTTCGCCATGCTCATCATCACCATCCCCACTCAGGTGCGCACTCGTCAACTCCGCACAAACGTATGTATGCACTCACCTCACACGCACACATGGCTTTTGAGAATTCTATCGAACATGCACACACAATCCTAAGCGCGCACACAAACAGGGTAGGTAGGAGTGGCGTCTCTTTGTAGAAGCATGCACCCTTGCTTCATTCCAGCAGCCGTCCCTGCACTAGCTATCTACCTTCTCTTCCTTCCCCTTCCCCTTACCTTTCCCTTCCCCTTCGCCCCCGCTCCTTCCCTCCTGTCCTTCCTTTCGCACCGTGTGAGTGCAGGGCAAGCTGGTGGGTCTGCTGCTGTCGATGCAGAGAAAGATTCTGCTCAACACCGGCAGGAGAGTCAAGGTGCGTGCACCCACACCACGCCTCCCAACCCACCAGCCCACCTACCTGCCCTGCCCATCCACCATTGCGACTGTTGTTGAAGCCCCTCAAAAGAAAGATGCGCCTGGCACCACCACCCTTGTGTCGATCAGGTCCGCCCTCCCTCCCCCATCAGGAGATGTACGAGACGAGTTGCTGCAGGGCATCCCTGCAGTGAAGTGCTATGCGGGTTTTTTTTTTGCAGCACATGCTCAGAACCTAAGAATCATTGCCTCTCCTCCCTCACCCCTCTCTCCCACATCCTCCCCCCCCCCCCCCCCCCCCCCCACACACACACGCCCGCCCCCCCCCCCCATCAGGTGATCAACGAGTTGCTGCAGGGCATCCGAGTGGTGAAGTGCTACGCGTGGGAGCAGCCGTTCACAGCGGCCATAGCGGGCATCCGCAGTGTGGAGCTCAAGGCCATGCGCAGCCGCGTGTGGCTGCGCGCCGTGCAGACCTGCTTCATGCTCGCCACGCCCACCCTCATCATGGTGGTATGTGCCATGCCATGCCCTGCTCCCCTCTGCCTCCCTGCTCCCTGTCCATGCACATGCCCATGCACATGCCCATGCCCATGCCCATGCCCATGCCCATGCTCATGCCCTTGCTCATGCCCATGCTCATGCTCATTATGCTGGGGAATGCCCATCCCATTGCATGTCCACGTCACACGTACACACGCACACCCCACCCCTTCCTTCTCTCCTCTCCTCTCCCGCAGGTGACCTTTGCGTTCTAAGCGGAGGTGGCGCACAACAGCATGATGGCGTTCACTGTCTTCACCCAAGGCGCCTAAGAACCCACATGAACCCTGTCTCCCTTCCCTCTCCTCCCTTCTCTCCTGGCCCCCTCTCCTGCAGGTGACCTTTGCGTTCTACGCGGAGGTGGCAAAGGGCAGCATGATGGCGTCCACTGTCTTCACAGCGCTCTCGCTCTTCAACTCGCTGCGCATCCCCCTCATGATCTGTAAGTGCGCTCTATCAGAGGCGTTCTAGACTAGAGGTGTGTGTGTGTGTGTGTGTGTGTGTGTGTGTGTGTGTGTGCTGCATGGGAGGCATTTTTTATCGGTCCTTATGCTGCCGTGCCGTTACTGATTCTCGCACCTGCTTCTTCCCTTGCTGTGACGTTTGATTCAAGGCGTTGCTTAACTTGAGTTCACGCCTCTGACATGCTCTGTTTGTTTGTGCGTATTTGTGTGTGTGCACATCACATCAGATCCTTTTGTCATCAACTCCGTGCTGGCTGGACATGTAAGTAGTTCCCTTCATCACTCTCGCATGCCGTCATCACACACACCCCCATGCCACCATCACACGCACCCCCATGCCGTCATCACACGCACCCCCATGCCGTCATCACACGCACCCCTCCATGCCTTCGTCACACTCCCTTCATCTTACTCGCATCCCTGCTGCTGCACGGCACTGTGTGTGTGTGTGTGTGTGTGTGTGTGTGTGTGTGTGTGTGTGTGTGTGACCGGTGTCGCAACAGGTGTCCCTGCAACGACTGGGCAAGTACCTGTCGAGTCCGGAGATGCAGCACGTGCAGAAGAACGAGGATAAGGGCGATGACCCCGTTGCTGTCTCCATTGACCATGCCAACTTCCAATGGTATTTGCATGCACACAAGCGCAGGCATGCTCGCACACATGCACGCATGCGCCTTACACACACTCTGCCCCCCTCCTGCTCACCTGGATCATTTCGTTTCCCGCTTCACATGTCCCTGTTCTTCACTCCCCCTCTCTTGGCATCTCCATCTGCCGTGCTCTGCCTAATCAAGCTCCCAATTCCTTGTGTCCGCCTTCCCCTTCGCCCTTCCACCCCCCCATGCGCGCAGGTCAACAGCCAAGCCGCCAGCAGCAGCACCGTCAAAGCCAGGGGGCTCCAAGGTGGCCCCCGGCATGGGGGGAGGCTTCGGTGCGCCCATGGGCATGGCCGGGGGAGGACCTCCAGGATCGGCTCGCACCGGTCAGTACTGAGCGGTTCTAATGCGGTACTGTGGTGTGGAGTGGGATGGGATGAAGTGTAAAGGAACGAGTGGAATTGATTTGGATATTTGCGCTGTCGTACTGTCGTCTCTAATGTCCTCCTGCCACCTACCATCATGCAATGTCCTGCCTGCATGACATGTCTACATGCCCTCCTAATGTTCCTCACTAGTCCCTCTCCTCCCATGTCATTGCATCACATGCCATGCCATAACGTGCCATCCCATGCCATGCCATGCTGTATTCCAGCGCCAAGCAAGGCAGGCGGGGATGAGGCAAAGCGCGGGGGGAAGAAGGGGTGGTGGCGATGGGGCAAGGCCAAGGCTGAGCCGGCAGACAAGGGCAGCGCGGGGGAGAAAGGGAGCGGTGCTGAGAGCAAGGATAAGGGCAAGGAGAAGGAGAAGGAGAAGCCTTTCGCTCTGACTGATGTTACTGTCACTGTGCCTCGGTAAGCGTCCTAACTTGCTTGCACCCATCCCTGGGTGCGCCCATCCCCGTGCTCTCTCTGTGTGCCCATCTTTCCTCTTCCACGCATGGCACTGTTGCTCTCGCCCGTCGCTGGCTGCTGCTAACCAATCGCCTAGCCAATCGCCACTGTCCAATGGCTGCCTTTGTTGCCTTTTCCGTGCCTAAGCCCCAGCCCTCATGTATCCCAATCCTACGTGCCTCCCCCCATGGCTTGTTGGGTGTGACACATGGCATGGCGTGGCATGGCATGAAATTGCATGGCATGGCATGGGAGCAGGGGATCGCTGTTTGCCATCGTGGGTTCAGTGGGCAGCGGCAAGAGCTCGCTCATATCCGCGATCCTGGGAGAGATGGAAGCACAGAGGGACGAGGACGAGGGGGTTGACGGTCGCAAGAGCTCAGACCGCAAGAGTGGGGAGAGGAGGCGCAGCAGCAGCGACAGGAGGAGGAGCAGTAGCGAGAGGAGGAGGAGTGAGAGTGGAGTGGTGGAAGGGGAGAACGAGGAGGGCAAGTGCCGTGTGACCATCAATGGCTCTCTTGCCTACTGCAGCCAGCAGGTGACGCCCCTGACCACTCACTCACATGTGATGTGACACGCGCTGCATTCTTTCGTGTGCCGTGTTGGCGGTCTTGTAATCTTGCCAGTTGTGGTGTTTCTCTCTAAGGCAAGCCTTATGCTGCTGCCCCGTTTCCTGGTTCCCCTTCTCCATGCTGCGTGCCAATGCCAATGCCAACCACTTGCAATGCCAATGCCGTGCCCCTGTGCAACAGGCATGGATCATGAACACGTCACTGAGAGAGAACATTCTGTTTGGCCACGAGTACGAGGAGGACCGCTACAACGCCATCCTCGACGCATGCGCTCTCCGCAAGGCAAGCCACCTCTCACCCCTCTCGCTGCTCTCGCTGCTCTCTTGAGGTGCCTCAAAGAACATTCTGTTTGGCCACGAGTACGAGGAGGACCGCTACAATGCCATCCTCGACGCATGCGCTCTCTGCAAGGCAAACTGCTTCTCTCCTCTCCCACCACTCCCACCACCGCTCTTTCCATGCACTGCTCTCTCCTCCACTCTGCGTGTTCATTCACTTCACTTCCCTGCCCCTCCCATCCCAGCATGGCGGCACCCGGTCATGCCCCCGGCCCCATGCAACCCTGATTCTTTCTATCGGTACCTAATCTAATCCATGACTGCCACTTCTATATCCCCCAACTTCAACCACTCTCTCCTCCCCACCAGGACCTGGCAGCACTGCCGGACGGGGACAGCACGGAGATTGGCGAGCGCGGGATCAACCTGAGTGGCGGGCAGAAGCAGCGGGTGGCGCTGGCGCGGGCAGTATACGCAGACACGGACATAGTGCTGCTGGACGACCCGCTCTCCGCTGTGGACGCGCATGTGGGCGCACACCTGTTTGAGAACTGCGTGCATGGCATTCTGCAGGGCAAGACCCGCGTGTTTGTCACCAACCAGGTATGTGGGCGGTGTGGGTAACATGGGGATATGATGGGGGCGCGGGCACAGATGGGGATGGGGGTGGGGGGCAAGGGAAGGTCTAGGGATGGGGGTGGGGGTGGGAGGTGTGTGTGTGAGTACGTGTCAGTTACTCCCATCCGCCCACCTACCACCACATGCCCATGTCCGTCTGTCCTTACGTATGTCCCTGTGCCTCCCCACGTGTTTGTGTGTGTCTCAGCTGAACTACGTGCCACAAGCGGACCTAATAGCAGTGGTGGACAAGGGTACAGTGGTGGAGCAGGGCACCTACAAGGTTAGCTCACATGCCTCATCTCGCTTGCCTACTCTATCCACCCACACGCACACAGCCACACACCCACACAGCCACACACGCACACACATTCTCCCCACACACTCACACACTCACACACACCCACACGCCCACACACATCTCTGCTTCTTTTCCTCACATGCTCTTATTGCCGTGCCAAAAGAATGGTATCACTGTGCTTAAGATGCTGTGCCAAGCACTTCCCTGCCTGCACAGTGAATGAACAGAACAGCGGCGCACGTCCGTCCGTGGTGCGTGTGTTCCCCTGCAACTGCCTAGCACTCAATCTCCCCTTAACCCCCTCAACATCTACATCAGGAGCTGATTCCCTACCTGTGTTCCCCTGCACTCCCCTTGCCCTGCCTCCCTCCCTCGCCCCTCTTCAGGAGCTGATGAGCCAGGGCGGCATGTTTGCACGGCTCATGCTGGAGAGTGGCTCGCACAAGCACACCAACGACTCGCCCGACGCTGCTGACGCCGCCTCCTCCTCCTCCTCCTCGCCCAAGGACCTGGGCACCAAGAGCCTCAACCGCCTCATGTCTCGCGGCCGGCAGCTGGGCGGCTCCAAGGTGAGTGAACCCTGCCGTGTGCCACCACGTGACCATGAAGATAGTTTCGTGAGTCGTCTCACAACCTCCTTGCTCGAGGACCTCGCCAACAGGAGCCTCAACCGCCTCATGTCTCGCGGCTGGCAGCTAGGCGGCTCCAAGGTGAGCCGTGAGCTGTGAGCCGTGAACCCTCCCTCCTCCGCTGCGCTGCCTTGTTGTTCCGTGCCGTGCCGTGCATGCGCATTCACGCCTTAGTGCGCTCGGCAGCAGCCCGGCACAAGGCATGCTGCACTTGCTTGACATGCATACTGTGTCAGCCAGTCATCACGCTCGCGCTGATCTGCTTGCACCAAAAGAAGGTGCCCATTCACGCGCATGGGATTCCTGCCTTTCCCTGTGAACCTTCATAGCATGACTTCTCCGCCCCTTTCCCCCCTCCACCCCCCTCCCGCCCCTCTCCCTTCTTCCCCCCTTGCCCTTGCCACGTCCCCTTCATCTCCAAATGCATTCCTGTATGCTAATCAGGCGCGCACGCGCAGCATGAGCCGCAGAGCGTCCTTCTCCACACACGGAACCCTGGTGGACCAGGAGCAGCGAGCCCGAGGCATGCTCAAAATGGAGGTAACCTAACCACCCACCACATGCTCCACATGCTCCACATGCTCGCCTCCGCCTCCACCTCCACCTCAAGTAAACCCTGTCTTCCCCACATTGCTCATGTGACTTGTCATTGCAGCCTCCTCCTCCTCCTCCTTCTCCTCCTCCTCCCCCTCCTCCTCCTCCCCCTCCCCCTCCTCCTCCTCCTCCTCCTCCTCCTCCTCCTCCTCCTCCTCCTCCTCCTCCTCCTCCTCCTCCTCCTCCTCCTCCTCCCCCTCCCTCGCCCGTGCACCCACTCTCTACTCACCGTAACACACTTCTTCTTTCTCACAAGCTCTCGTCCCTCCGCTCTCCCCCACCCACAGCATCTATGCCGCTTCAAATGCTCTCCCACCATACCCAACCTCACCTCTCTCCACCGCACCCCACTCCTGCCTCTCCCTCCAGGTGTACAAGAAGTACTGGCTGGAAACGAGCTGGATCATCCCGGCGGGAGTGCTGATGCTGTTCGTCATCGTGCAGTGTGTGGACGCCTTCACGCGCTACTGGCTCGCCTACTGGACCAAGGACCAGTTCAACCAGTCCGCTGGCTTCTACCTCGGTATGCTCCGCACGCATGCTGTCGACATAACTCCCGCCCGTCTCTGCTCTCTCTCCCCCCAGGCGCCCAACTGTGGCTGTCTGGTTAGGCTGTACTCCCTGTCTCCCATCTCCTGCGCCTGTGCTGCACGCACCCCTCGTGTGCTTCCATTGGCTCCCAAGTCCACTCATCCTCCTGCTGCCCCTCTCTTCTTCCCCACCTTCCCTCCTCCTCCTTCCCCTTCTCCAATCCTCTGCTGCCCTGCGCCTCCCTCCCAGGCATCTACGCGTCCCTGGCCATGCTCTACACGGTACTCAAGCTGGCTACTGAGAATTTCTCTAAATCTTTTCAAAAACCATCCCTGGCCATGCAGGGAGTTTCAAAAACTCGAAATCTCAAAAGCTCCCATCGCTGGCCATGCTCTACACGGTGCGCAGCTACTTCCGCACGCTGGGGCAGGCCTTTCTGGGCCTTTAAACGTCTGAAAGCAGCTTCCCCTCTCCCTCCCTTCCATCCCCCCCCCCGCCTCCCCTTTCTCTCCCCACCCTCCCCCCAGGCATCTACGCGTCCCTGGCGATGCTGTACACGATTCTGATCTACTTCCGCACGTTGGGCCAGGCCTTTCTGGGGTTGTGGACGTCGAAGAAGCTGCACGAGGGCATGCTGGCCTCCGTGCTGCGCGCGCCCATGTCTTTCTTCGACACCACGCCCGTCGGCCGCATCCTCAACCGCTTCAGTGCGGACCAGGCAGGGGTGGACGAGACGCTGCCCTTCTCCTGGTCCACCTTCCTCAACATCCTCTTCCAGGTCGGCTCGGCTCGGCTCCCTGCCTCCCTGCTTGCTTCCCCTGATGATACTAGCTTGCTCCTCTCGTGTCGCTTTCTTGAGAAATTTCTGCTGTAGCTCAAGCCCTTTCACGCCGCGGCTTCCCTGCTCTGCTACTCGCGCTGTGTTACTCACTGCACCACACCACATCATGCGAAGCTGATCCAGCGTTCTGCAAGCTCACTCACTCGCCCTGCGTGCACGCCTCCCCCTCATCCCCCCGCGTGTCCCATGCGCCCTTTTCGCATGCACAACCAGGTCTTCGGCACCATCATAGTGGTGACCATCGTCACATGGGAGTTCATCATCGCATTCATCCCTGTCGCCTGCCTCTACTTCTGGGTGCAGCAGGTCCGTCCGTCCACCACTCCCCACCTCACCACCTCTGTTACTTCTCCCTACCTCCACTCACCACTCCCTACCTCCTCTCACCACTCCCTACCTCCTCTTCCTCCCCCCTTCTCCACCCCCCCGCCTCTTTCCCAACCCCCTTTTCCCCCTTGTACATCCCACTACTCTCCGGTTCCTTCTCCCATCCCCACACCCCCTCTCCCCCTCACCACGCCCTCCCATCCTCCTGCCTCTCCGTTCCACCCCACATCTCATTTCTGTTGTCGATTTTCTGTCTCGCCTTTGGGTCTATTAGTAGAAAGCAAATGCCCGTGAAACGCCACACATACCCTTCACCATGCACCTCCTCGCCCTCCATCCCACCACTCCCCTCCTCCTCCCTCCCCTTCCATCGCCCTCCCAACTGGGCCCACCAGACATACCGCAAGACGGCGCGGGAGTTGAAGCGGTTGGATGCGGTGAGCAAGAGTCCGGTGTACCAGCAGTTCACGGAGACGCTCAACGGGCTGCCGGTCATCCGCGCCTACAACCAGGAGGAGCGCTTCCTGCGCATGTGCGACGGTGCGTGCTGCTGCGTGGTGGTGTGTCATGATTAGGGGCTGCTTGGTCATGTGTGGTGATGATGATGATTGCTGTGGGATTGTGAATTGATTAGAGATTCTGTTGTACCTTCCATCTACCCAGCTTTTGAGGCGCCTCAAAAGTCGATTCTGTTGTACCTTCCATCTACCCAGCTTTTGAGGCGCCTCAAAAGTCGATTCTGTTGTACCGTCCATCTACCCAGCTGCTGCCCTTCCCAGCATTTATAAATGCTGGTACAATCCTCATCCAGTAATCTTCCCCTCACAATCCTCCCACTCCGTCACTCCCGCATTCCTCTCCGTGTGTCCCTCGTGTGGGAGCAGACAAGCTAGACGCCAACAACAGGGCCTTCTTCCTGCTCAAGTGCTGTGACCGCTGGCTGTCTGTGCGCCTGGAGCTCATGGGCAACACTCTCGTCTTCGCCGCTGCCATCTTTGCTGTCCGTACCCTTCTCCCACGCGCTCTACGTTCTCACCGCTCTCCCACTCGCACCCTTCGCTCACGCTCCCTCTTCCTCGCTCACACTTTTTGTTTTTCCACCACTCGCTTTCTCCTATTGCCACAAGAACCCTGCTACTTTGCCTGTCCGGACGACATCTATTGTGCATGCATGCTTGTGACACCTGTCCGTACTGCTGCGCTCGGCTTGCTTGTGCGGCAAACAATGATCTCCTAGGCACCGCATAAAGCGTCTCGTCTTCCCCTGCACCCATTCGCATGAGCAGGTGGTGAACCGGGGCAGTGTGTTCGCCGGGTTTGCAGGCATCAGCATAGACTATGCGCTGCAGATCACGGCTGCTCTTGGCATGCTGGTGCGGCAGATGACCGACACGGAGAACCAGATGAACGGCGTGGAGCGGATCCTGGAGTACCGTGATAAGATCGACCATGAGGTGGGTGATGTGGGCGAGGTAGGGGGCTAGGGAGGAACGCGGTGTGTGCGGTTTGTGCAGTGTGGGGTGCAGGGTGGGTGAGGGGTGTTGGGTGTGGTGGTGAAGGATGAGGGTGAGAGTTGTGGGGAGGAAGGATGAGGACGAGGAGAGAGTCTCAGCAGTGCATGCTTGCACTTGCACCCTCATGCGTTAGCATGCACGCGTGCATCATGCCATTTCGCTCACGCACCGTCCTTCTCTATGTCTCTGCTGCGTGGTGCAAGCCGGTGCACGAGCATTCATGTTACACATGTTCCTGATCCAAGCGTGTGTGTGCTCTCGTGCACGCGTGTGACCGCCCTGTATGTGTGTGTGTGCATGGCAAGCAGGCGCCAGCGGTGATCAAGGACGCGGATCCGGGCTCAGACTGGCCGGGCAAGGGCGAGATTCGAGTGGAGGAGATCTCCATGCGCTACCGCCCCAACCTGCCCCTCGTGCTCAAGAACGTGAGTCTCCCTCCAAGTCCCAATCCTACATCATCTAAATGCATAACGGGAATGCGAATATTGAGTTAACTCAAAACTCGCTTCTCTTCTCCCTCACCCACCCCTACTCCAGGTCTCTGTCTCAATCCAAGGAGGAGAGCGCGTGGGCATTGTCGGCCGCACCGGCTCCGGCAAAAGCTCCCTCATGCTGTGCCTGTTCCGCCTGATCGAGCCCGCGGAGGGGCGAATCCTGATAGACGGCACGGACATCGCAGGCATGGGCCTCACACAGCTGCGCTCCAGACTCTCCATTATTCCCCAGGACCCCGTGCTGTTCAGCGGCACTGTGAGGAGTAACCTGGACCCGTTCAACTGCCACTCGGACGATGATGTGTGGACGGCGCTCAGTCACGCGCATCTCAAGGATAAGGTGGGCGGGGAGAGGGTGCGGGAGAGGGTGGTGTGCGTGGCTTATATTCGTCTTTATTATATTTTAGGCAAAGGTACAAAGGAAATAGGCGGAGTATTGTAGAGAAGGGATGTTGCGAGGGGTGGGGCACAAAAATGCATTCTGGAAGTTAAAGGACGAGGAGGCTGCGCTGATGAAAGGCAGTTCTGTGCCAAGCTCCGTGATTCAATGATGTTCTCTCTGTTGCTGCTGCTGCTGCTGCTGCTGCGGCTGCTGTGTGGTGCGTGCATGGGCAGGTGGGGGCGCTAACAGGGAAGCTGGAAGCATCGGTGGCGGAGTATGGAGAGAACTTTTCCGTGGGGGAGAGACAACTGCTGTGCCTCGTGAGTCACACCACCGCTACCACCAGCTTCCTTGTCCGCACGCATGCCTGTGTGCCCATTTGCACACCTCCTCTCATTTCATCTCCTCTCCGCTCACCTCTTGAGATCGTATCCTGTCTCGTCCCCTCCACTGTGATCTGCCCTTTACATCCCAATCCCTCTCCCCATCTTGTGTGCTCTGCTCTGCTCCTCCCTAACCTCTGCTCCTCGTTCCCGTCTCTCGCCCCTCTCTTCCCCAGGCGCGTGTGTTGCTGCATCATGATGATGGATGAAGCAACCAGCAGCGCTGACTTTGAGTTTTGAGAACTCTCAAAACCCCTCCCCTTTTCCCCCCCTCCCTCCTCTTCCCCCCCACCCCTCTCTCTTCCCCCCAGGCACGTGTGTTGCTGCGCAAGAACCGCATGATGATTATGGACGAGGCCACCAGCAGCGTCAACTTCGAGTTTCGAGACCTCTCAGAACCTCTCCTCTCTCCCCCCCCCACTTCCTGCCTCTCTCTTCCCCCCTCTCCCCCAGGCACGTGTGTTGCTGCGCAAGAACCGCATCATGATTATGGACGAGGCCACCAGCAGCGTCGACTTCGAGACTGATCGCCTCATTCAGGTGCGTGCGTGTGTGCCTTAGCGCTGCTGCGCGCCCCGTGCCCAAGCCATGCCATGGGCCCAATTATACATATGACCGCCATCCCTGCTTCTCACCTTGTTTCCTTCAGCCAGCCTGCCAATCTCCCCCCCTCTCTAACTCTCCCTTGTGTGTGTTGAAACCCGTCCCCCGTGTCGCTGCTGCTGTGTGCAGGCCACCATCCGCACGCACATGCAGGACAGCACCATGCTCATCATTGCGCATCGCATCAACACTGTCATCGATGCCTCACGCATCCTCGTGCTCAGCCATGGCGAGGTGCGTGCCATGCCTTGCCATGCCATGCCATGCCATGCCATGCCATGCCATGGCATGCCATTCCAAGCCATGCAATGCGGCCACTCTTGAATCCTCGTGCTTCGGTCAGAACAAACGCCACTATCGTGCGCAGCCTTGTCCAACGCCATGCTGCTGCTCGCACACCTGCAATATCACCACCCCCTGCTCCCTCCTTCCCATCCTCCAACCATGGAGGTGATGGTGCATGACATGCGAGCAGCGTTGCTGGACAGCCCCAAGGAGCAGTTTCTTGTTTGAGTCAACCAACACATCTCCTTCCCTCCCACGTCCCGTGCTGTCCCTTGCCACCTGTCTGACCCCACCAGGTGATGGAGTATGACACGCCAGCAGCGCTGCTGGACAGTGCCGAGGGGCAGTTCTCATCGCTGGTGGAGGACACGGGAGAGCAGACAGCAGCGCACCTGCGCAAGATAGCACGCGGGGAGCTTGACTTCTTTGCTGCTTACTCCAAGATTGTCAAGGCCGAGTGACCGTTGAAGGGACAGGACGGAGGGATGCTTGATGCTTGATGTGGAGTGGGATGGGTGGGGTGTATACTAGCCTTTGTTAGGCTAGCATTAGTGCACAGCCCAGTTTTATTGACACACGGGATGGGTGTGCAATAAAGATGATGTGGATTTTCTCCTACAGCTCCTTTTTGTTGTTTGTTTGAGTGAAGAATAATATTGATTAATGAGTTCAGTTGATAAAGTCTTACTATTCTTGTCAAAGCAGCAACAGTCAAAGCTGTTTGGTGATATGATAGAACTGTAATTTCTCCAATACAAGCAAAAGCCAAACAGCTACCTAGCATGCCAGCACAGACCTTCACAGCTAAACCTTCTACTACACCCCCACCACTCTCCACCCCTCTCCACCACCCTCTGCATACGCACATACACACCATTCTCACTGTTCCAACAACGGCGGCGCCTCGACCACTCCCACATCCACAGTCAACTCCGCACCTCTCCTCAGTTTCTCCTGGATCAGCCGTGCCATCTGTGACCGCGGCTGGGCGGCCACAGCAGCTTCAGAGGGGGAGGAGGAGGCGTCTAGAGGAGCAGGAGTGGGGGCGAAGGTCTTGGAGGCGAACGCAAAGACGAGGTTGGAGAGGAGGGTGAAGAGCAGGAGAGCACCGCCGGAGTAGGCTAAGAATGGCGTGTCGAATTCCGGCCATCCCTCCGCACTCGCCCCTCGCCCCACTTGCAGGGCTGCCGTTGGGGGTGATAGGGCGGTTGGGGGTAAAAGTGGGGGAAGTCGGGGAGGGAGGAGGGGTGTAGGGGGGATGGAGGAAGGGGGCGGGTGATGTGGGGAAGGGAAGGGTTGAGGAATTGAGAGATTGTGATTGTGGCAAGAATGGAGGAGCAAGTCGGAGGTGAGGGAGAAAAGGATACGAGAGCGCACAAGTAGTATGGAGGAGCGCAAGCAGGAGAGCATAGCAGATGGCGAGAAGATCTGCTTGTGGATGTAAGAGGGTGTTCCACCGCAACAAGATCTGCGAGTGTGCGCACATGCATGTCTCATTCAAGCCTCACGCGGTTGAATATGCCATTTCCGTGTCTTTTCCAGCCCGGACCCCTCAACCTCCTCCTTAGCTCACAAATGCGCCCTGCCCTAGGCGTGTAGCAACCCACCTGGTTTCTCGTCTCCGCTGCTGCTACTGGGCCTTGAGCTGGCCGCAGCAGCCGCGCCCTCTCTTCTTGCGCCATCGCTTTTCCCGCTCCCCCGCCCTATCCCGCGCTTCTCCCGTTCCTCCCGCGCCAGTTCCAGCAGCTGCGCGTCCAATGCGCGCAGCGCAGCGGCGGCGCCCGCCGACGGCGCCGCGGCCGGCTTCGAGGACGAAGCTGACGACGCGCCATTGGACGGACCGCTAGTGGACGAGTCGGTGCCGGCGAGATTAGGGTTCCCGGCATTCCCCGAGCGACCAGTCAAGCTGCCATTGCCGGCTGACGGCTGCTCGCTGCCGGCTAAACACCGCACTGACTTGGCCGACCTTGTGAGTCTCGCCTGTTTGGACCGGCACGATTTGACATGAGTTAAGGCGGACGAGGGGAGGGAGACCGGTGCCCCTAGCGGTGCGAGGAAGGCCATAGGACGTAATGCACTGACATGCATAGACGAATGCTGGTGGGAATTCCAGGAATGGGGTGGCTTGTGGACGCTGGGCTAACTTTGACGCGTACACAGAGCCAACTCGTTGCAGCTACAAGACGCTAATTCTATCTCGTCAGTAATTAGCCTATTCACGGTAGAGCCTTTTGAAATGATGGGGTGCTTCTCACGCATCAGCAGCGATCATATATGTATATATATATATTTTAGCCTATACGCTGACAGTGTGACTGCTCATAATATTAATATTTGACAACTTGATAGTATATATTTCTATTATGTCTTTTGTGTTGTTGTTAGTGGTGTCCCAAAATTGTTTCTGCTGGAAAATATTTTCTGCTGCAGTGTATTTTATAGATTCTCCGGTTAGAAAATATCGTTCTAAGGAGGATTCAAGGTGGTTCACCACCGAAGCAGACACCAAGCGAAGTCGCAAGTGACGAAACTGTTTAATTTCGCCTACATCATCCAGCCTGTTGACGAAAGGCTGGCTGTGCCTTGCGCTTTCGCTCAACGAGCCATGGCTGCACGGGGGCAGCAAGGTTCAAGTCCCCCACCGCCTACTAGGGCGTTCTTTTCCCAACTCGACCAGAGGTAAGCAGGATTCGGGTAGGGGGAGTAGGTGCCACGTGTCAGGCCGTGAATCAAGCTAGGAAGGATCGTAGGCAGCGCCGGCAGGAGATTGCGACGTGTTAGGGCAGAGCAGAGGTAATTAAGTATTAGTCGGAGCGCAGCTTGAGGTGCTATTACAGCGAGTTGGATGCTGTCGCGAGAAGTTCCCGCGTATTGAGCGAGACTGGAGACGCGGAAAGATCACGAGCCAGTAGCGGAGTTAGGTTAGAGAAGTTGCTAAGTATGGATCGACCAATTGTGCATGGAGCTTATCGGTTTTGTAGGCAGGTTTTGCGTTTCAAACTCTTCCTTTCAAGAAATCCTTTCAGACCATCGTTGCACAGGTTGCGGAATGATATCATTATACGTCGCCTTACCCGCTGTTCCTGCCGTCCCCCTCTGCCCCGCACCTCCTCCGTCTCTCGTGCTCTTTCCCGGATCCGTTTCCCGTGCTGCTTCCTGGATTGCAGGAAGGGACCATTTGGCTCGTAATCTCCTGCACAGCCAGTCGCGATGGGTCGCGTTATTCGCGCACAGCGTAAGGGTGCGGGTTCCATCTTCGTGTCGCACACGCACAAGCGCAAGGGTGCGGCTCGGTTCCGGTCTCTGGACTATTCGGAGCGCAACGGCTACATCAAGGGCGTCGTCACCGAGATCCTCCACGACTCGGGCCGCGGTGCTCCCCTCGCCAGGGTAAGTCATGCCTCATGAACGTCGCTCACTGCTTGTGTTAGGGTAAGTCAACCGTCATCAGCGTCGGTCTTTCTTGAGCTAAGGTACAAGCGTGACGTTGCACAAATGGAAACAACACACTACGCTGTTATCGATGGTTCAGATCACCCTCTCTCCAGTCATCTACTCGCTCCCACTCCTCTCACTCACCTCCTCTGCACACTTTTTCCCCACACGCACATACATTCCCGCTTATCCCCGCTACAGGTGCAGTTCCGCCACCCGTTCCGTTTCAAGCACCAGAAGGAGCTGATGGTGGCGGCGGAGGGCATGTACACGGGGCAGTTCGTGTACTGCGGCAAGAAGGCCACGCTCAGTATCGGCAACGTGCTGCCCGTGCGCGCCATGCCCGAGGGTACCGTCTGCTGCAACCTCGAGCAGCACGTCGGTGACCGCGGCGCCATCGCTCGCGCGTCCGGTGACTACGCGATCATCGTGTCGCACAACCCCGACAACGGCACCACCCGTGTGAAACTCCCGTCTGGCTCCAAGAAGGTTATTCCGTCCTCTTGCCGTGGCATGGTGGGGCAGGTTGCGGGCGGTGGTCGCACTGAGAAGCCGATGCTCAAGGCCGGTAACGCGTACCACAAGTACCGCGTGAAGCGCAACTCGTGGCCTAAGGTGCGTGGTGTGGCCATGAATCCTGTGGAGCATCCCCATGGTGGTGGTAACCATCAGCACATTGGTCACGCGTCCACCGTGCGCCGCGATGCGCCTGCCGGGCAGAAGGTTGGTCTCATTGCTGCCAGGCGTACTGGTCGGCTCCGCGGACAGGCTGCCGGTTCGCTCAAGATGGAGAAGGCCGCTTAACTCAGTTGAGCAATGGTGGCTGGGGAGCAGTGTTCTTGGAGGTGGTGTGGTATGGGCGGAGCTGCTGGTGCAGGGCTTGTGGTGGCGGATGGAGAGGTGCTTTTCTGGATGCTGCTGGCAATTGTGGTGTTTTATGCGCTTGTGCTTGTTTCATACATTGTAATCAAATTCTTGATGATAAGCACATGGTTCGTGATCAATGCCACCAACACCATCAATGCAAATTATGTGTCCAGTTTGTTGTTTTAGGAGTGGTAGCAGTGTAGAATTCGGGTTCGGGGGGGTTGTGTGCCTTGGTCAGTTCTCTATATGTGGCTGCCTGAGCTATAACATTGAACCTCTGAACTGGAGACGCATGGAGTTAGGGGTGTTAGGTTGCATATTACTAGTTCTGGATCTAAGGTTTCTTTCTGCTTGTTGAAGGAGTCCTGCTTTATCGGAGCGATAGGGAAATTCTCCCGCTGGACTGGAGCATCTCGCCCCGCGCCTCCGCACCTACAGTACTCGGAATTTTTGGCGAATCCGGACGCAGCTCGACCTTGAATTCCCGCGCGCCCATTTGCTTCCGCCCACGCATCCGCCTCTAGCGTTGTTTCGCCGCACTTCGTCTCACCATCCCTGGATTGGATTTGCCCCCTGAACTGTCTCGCCTTGCTTCGCGATCCTGGTTACCCGTCGCGCAGTGCCCAGTTTCCACCGACCCCATCCATCACCCACCCACCCAGTCTGTCCTCTCAAAAAGAGGAAAAGGGGGAAATATCTCGCTCACTCCAATTCGTCCTTCCATCAATTTGCATTTTGCCGCTACTCTCTGCTTTGATCCTCTTCCGTTCTGTTGTGGGGCGAGGAGAAGAGCTCACATACACTCACGGACTAGGCAAGCGGGCGAGCCGGCAAGCGGTGTTGCACTGCATGATAAACGGAATAGAGGTGCCCACAATGCGATCACTGGGCGACGGCGACGACGACGAGTACGACTGGGAGGGGGAGAAGCGGCGCCGGGAGCGCAAAGAACGGCGCGAATGGGCGCGGCTGGTGAGCTCCGCGGAGCAAATGGAGGCCTCGCGGCGGGTGAAGGCGCAGAAGTGGTCGGCAAGCTGCGCTCGAAGCTGGAGTATCAGCGGTCTATGCGCGGCAAGGTCGACGTGTCAGAAATCGAGGATCTCGATGTTTTCGACATGCCCGCGCATACCGGAGACGTCGACATGGGAGCGCCGCCTCCCACGCCGCAGCCGCCGCCGGATCTTGATCGCGCGGGGCGCGCGTGCAAGACGAAGATCGTGTGTACATTAGGGCCGATGTCTCGCAGCGTGGACGTGATCGAACGGCTGTTACGCGCCGGCATGAACGTGGCGCGATTCAACTTCTCCCACGGATCGCACGATTATCATCAGGAGACGCTGGATAATTTACGCGCCGCCATGTCGAATACTGGCATTCTCTGCGCCGTACTGCTCGATACCAAGGTGCGTTCATTTGCATTATCTTTCCCCACAACACTCTGTGACAAACTTGAGAATGCTTTTTTATTATATATATTTCTTCTTTCTTTTGCTATGTATACAAAATGCTGCATTCTTTCTTTATCCAAACGCAAAGTATATGCATTTTACGTCACCCTCCGCCTCACATTCTTCCCTCCCCATTCCCTCTCCCCGCCTCTCCCCCACTCCCACCCGCCTCCCACCGCCCCCTTCCCCATCCCCTCCGCTCTCCGCACTCGCGCGCAATAATCCCTCTTGCCGCGGCGCCGCAGGGGCCGGAGATCCGCACGGGCATGCTGAAGGACGGCAAGGCGGTGCAGCTGGAGAAGGGGCAGACGATCACGGTGACGACGGATTACAGCGTGCAGGGCGACGCGACCATGATCGCCATGAGCTACAAGAGCCTCGCCAAGCACGTGCGACCCGGCGGACAGATTCTCTGCGCGGATGGGAGTATCACGCTCAACGTGCTCGCGTGCGACCCGGACGCAGGGTGCGTGCGTGCATGTGCGAGAGGCCGTGTGTGTGCGCTTGTCGGTGCCGCATTCGTTGCGGTTTTTCTACGCGCCATTCCACTCCACTCCTTCCCCAAACCCTTTTCCTCCACGGCGCCTGCCTTACCGTTTTTGTCTCCGCGTGTGCGCAATCATCATATTGCATTGCGCATCTACCGTCGCTCATTTGCCAGCCATTGCGCATTACTGCATCTGAACATTCCGTCCGGCAAATCCCCCTCTCTCATTCTGCGTGGTTCGTTAAATTGCTGCATCTGTCCCGTGTTGGGGGTAGTGGCCGTTGTAGTGGCATCAATGTTGTTACTTCTCTGCTCGGTGATACTTTTGACTGATAATATAATGTGTGGTGCATGGCAATTGGTGTGCTGTGTGATGCATGGTGCATGGTACGTGGTGCATGGTGTATGGTGCATGGTGTATGGTGCATGGTGCATGGTGCGTGGTGCATGGTGCGTGGTGCATGGTGCGTGGTGCATGGTGCGTGGTGCGTGGTGCATGGTGCGTGGTGCATGGTGCATACAGCACGGTGACATGCCGGTGTGAGAACACAGCCACACTAGGCGAGCGCAAGAACGTGAACCTGCCGGGGGTGATAGTGGACCTACCAACGGTCACAGACAAGGACGAGGCGGACATCATGGGGTGGGGCGTGCCCAACGGCATTGACTTCATCGCTGCTTCCTTTGTGCGCAAGGGCTCTGATCTGCGCATCATTCGCAAGATGCTGGGGCGCAAGCTGAGCGAGCGCACCAAGATCATCTCCAAGGCATGTCATGTTCCCCAGGCCCGTTTCTGCTGCTGCTGCTGCTACTGCTGCTTCTTCTGCTGCTGCTGCTGCTGCTGCTGCTGCTGCTGCTGCTGCTGCTGCTGCTGCTGCTGCTGCTGCTGCTGCTGCTGCTGCTGCTGCTGCTGCTGCTGCTGCTGCTGCTGCTGCTGCTGCTGCTGCTGCTGCTTGACAGTCACTTCGCATCATGGTGAAGTCATTGTAATTTTCACGTTTGCAACTCTGTGTGTTGTGTCTTAAACCATTCCACACAGGTGGAGAACCAGGAGGGGCTGGTGAACTTTGATGATATTCTGAGGGAATCGGACGGCATCATGGTGGCTCGAGGCGACCTGGGCATGGAAATTCCGATTGAGAAGATTTTTCTGGCTCAGAAGATGATGATCCACAAGTGCAACGATGCAGGTCAGCCCCCCCTCTCTCACTCTCACGCTTGTCTACTCTACACTAGTTGCACTCACATTTGGGCCCCACGGTAACACCTACCAGCATGCCGCTTCCATGTTACCAAGGCAGACAACATCCAGTACAGCATGCAGGATTCAGCTCTCACGTTGCCCGTTTCCTTCGCATGCTAAGTTCCTGCTCCCACACCACTTTTCAACTCCTGCTCGGCTCCGTCCGTGCTGCTCCCTGCCCTTCTTCCCCCGCTCCCATCAGGCAAGCCTGTGATAACAGCCACGCAGATGCTAGAGTCAATGGTCAAGTCTCCGCGCCCCACCAGGGCAGAGTGCACAGACGTGGCCAACGCTGTCATCGACGGCACAGATGCAGTCATGCTGTCGGGGGAAACAGCCGCTGGAAAGTATCCTGTGGAGGCGGTATCTGTGATGGCTGCCATTTGCCGCACAGCAGAGGCTGGGCTGGATTACGAGTCGTCGTTTAAGACGGTTATGGCTGCTGCGCGCCTGCCGCTCAGCCCTGTGGAGAGCCTGGCGTCCTCTGCTGTGCGCACTGCCAACAGCGTAAGTGCATGCGCTGTGAGGCAGAGTCTTTGAGTTTGGCAGTATGCGGTCAATCCCTGCCGTAATGTCAATACATTGCTGGTAGTCTTTGGTTTTATTTTTGTTACTTTCCCTCTTTGGAGCTGAAGAGACCCTCTCATGGTTTCGCATTTGCTCTTGCGCAGGTGGCTGCGAAGCTGATAGTGGTGTTGACACGCAGTGGCAGCACAGCAGGGCTTGTGGCCAAGTACCGACCATACATGCCTATCCTGTCCGTGGCTGTGCCGGTGCTCGAACCCACCGACTCGCTCGAGCTCTTTGTGGAGCCCAGTGATGCTGCTCCTGCTCGCCATGCGCTGCTGGTCCGCGGGCTTGTGCCGATTTTGGCGGAGGGAGGGGCGCGATCCACTGACTCTGATACGGTCTTAGACATCATATCGACCTCATTGGACAAGGCTAAGAGCCGTGGACTTATCACTTCTGGCGATACCGCTGTAGTGGTGCATCGCATTGCAGGGTCCGCTGTTATTAAGATCATGCAGATTCCTTAGGCTGGATATTGTTATGAGTGTCGATACACGGGTGACCTGTCACACATTGTAATTTAAATTGTTGTGCTGGTCTATTCGAATTCTGCAAATATACCAGCTACTGTACTGCTCACCACGGTATTTTGAGTTGCATCTGACGAAACGCGGACCCCTCATGGTTCGCTGCGTCTGTCTGTTCCGTCGGAGTCGCCCACCGGATGGCACACTAGGGGAAAAACTGGCGCGTCGCGAATTCGACCCAAAACATGTCATGCAAATTGAACGACTCGACTTTTCCTCTCGCATCTTGACTGTTGTAGCTTTTCGCTTCCCATCCCACCCACTCTCCTCTCCACTCCACCCTCGAGCACTCTTGGTTGTGGCTTGGCTAGTCACATCAATCTTTCGTTGTTCTGCATCCATTTTCCACACGCCTCAACCAAGCAAGCACAAGCTTTTGCGTTGCTTGTTGTTAGAGCCGTTGCCATCTGCATTTCCGTACGGCAACTAATTCTATTATTCTCAAGACAACCACGTAACTTCAACGACTTTAGGTTACGAGTAGTAGGCACCAAGCTATGGCGGGACGGGCTATTGCGCTCACGCTGATCACGGCCCTGATCGTTATAATAAGCGCGTGCGTAGCGCAAGCCGCCTCTAGACCCGCTAGTCTGCGTCTGGTGAAGCTGGGAGGAAGCGCACAGGATCCGAAATGCCTCGATGGCAGGTGAGTTGAGTCCGCGGCAGATGAAACCGAGCACGTGGAGTATGGGTTCCTAAGGATGTCTTTCAGTAAACCAATTGGATCTCGTGAAAGGTGTAGATTGCGTGGAAGCACGGGGCAGTCGAAACGACTTATAGGCGTGTTATGAGCGGTTGTTTTGAGCAGTAACATCAATGCATTCACCCGAGTAGGCCACAGCTGCCGTACACCCTTGATTGATTGGAGTGAATGTGTGAGCAAGTGCGCCACGAACACGACAGGCATTTCTGCATTACTGGAAAGGACCCCGCCTGTTTTGCGTTCCAACAAGTAGATCCAATGCGTACCCATTCAGACTCACCGAGACGCGCAACGACTTGTCAATTCGGCTCTGGCCCCCTTTCCGCCCCATCAACCCCTGTCACGCCAGTCCTCCCGCCTACTTTCTCCGCGACGGCTATGGCTCCGGCGTCAACAACTGGCTGGTCTACTTGCAAGGTGGCGCGTGGTGCACGAGCAAGACGGAGTGTGCGCAGCGCGCCACGACGCCGCTGGGCTCGAGCAAGTTCTGGCCCGAACCGAGTAGCGCCTCATTCGTGCGCGTGGTGAGTACGCAACGCGCAGCGCGCAACGCGCAATGGGCAGCGCGCAACATGCAATGCCCAACTCGAGGCCATGTCTTGAATAAATCTGCCTGCCTATGCTTCTCCTCCTTCCGTCTTTCGACTTCCGGTACCGGTTCTCGATCTTCTCTCTTTTCCTCGTCTCCGTCCGCCTTCTGTTTCCCACGCCTCATTCTCTTCCCTTGACTCTCCTTGCAAACCCCGTGCGTGCACCGCAACGACGCACGACGACGACGACGACGACGACGACGACGACGACGGCGGCGGCGGCGGCGGCGGCGACGGCGACGCATGGCGGCAGATGCGGAACTTGAACAGCCAGTTCACGGGGCTGCTGAGCAGCAGCGAGGTGCAGAACCCCGACTACTACAACTGGAACACAGTCATGGTCGTCTACTGCGACGGCGGCGGGTACGCCGGCACGGCGGGCGCCGTCAAAGTCAACGCCTCCACCACCATCCACCTGGACGGCCATCGCATCCTCAAATCCATCGTCGCAGGTCCGTGCTGCTCCTTCTGTTTCCCCTCGTGCTTCTCCTCGTGCTTCTCCTCGTGCCTCTCTCCTCCTGTGTCCCTCCTCCTCCTCCTCCTCCTCCTCCTCCTCCTCCTCCTCCTCCTCCTCCTCCTCCTCCTCCTCCTCCTCCTCCTCCTCCTCCTCCTCCTCCTCCTCCTCCTCCTCCTTTTCCTCCTCCTCCTCCTCCTCCTCCTCCTCCTCCTCCTCCTCCTCCTCCTCCTCCTCCTCCTCCTCCTCCTCCGCCTCCTCCTTTTCCTCCCCTTCCCCTCATGTATGTGTACCGTATGTCAATTGTTTTTACTTCTTTCGTGCCCTCTGCTGCTGCACCGCAGACCTGGCTAAGCGAGGCATGGCGACCGCGAAGCGCGTCCTGCTGACGGGGTGCTCCGCTGGAGCGCAAGCGGTGTCCACGTCGTGCGATGACGTGGCGGCGGCAGTGCCGGCCGCCAACACCAAGTGCCTCATGGACGCCGGCTTCTTCCTCGGTGCGTCCTCGCTCCCTCGCTCCCTCGTCCCCTCCCTCGCTCGCTCCCTCCATCCCTCGCTCGCTTGCCCTCCTGCTCCCCGCTCCCCCACTCCCTCCCTCGCTTCCTCACTCTCTCGCTCTCTTGCTCCCTCTCTCCTCGCGTGCTCGGTGCGCCTGCTTATCACCACCGGTGGTCTCTCTCTCGCAGCTCAGAAGCGTTCCATTCGCTCATACAACAACTCTACTCTTCAACTCTGAATCGTCTCAACGTTTCATTCTCTCACGTAGATTCATCCATGCACGGGCTCTGACACTCGGTCTGACCTCCAGCGTGCCCCGGCTCCGCCATTACCCCACCCCAACTCCAACCCCAACCACCGCCCATGTGTTGGCCCGGGATCAGATGGGTGGGACGAGAACGGCACCCCTGCGTTCCGCACCATTGCACAGAAGCTGGTTGACGTCCACCAGGCACAGTATGACGCCGACTGTGTTAAAGGTGAGGCCGCCTGCCGCCGTCCACGCACCCGCATGCAGAGCACATGCACATCACATGCAGAGCACATGCACATCACATGCAGAGCACATGCACATCACATGCAGAGCACATGCACATCACATGCAGAGCACATGCACATCACATGCAGAGCACATGACATCACATGCAGAACACATGCACATCACATGCAGAGCACATGCACATCACATGCAGAGCACATCACATGCACAGTGTAGAGCACATGCCCATCACATGCAGAGCACATCACATGCAGAGCACATCACATGCACAGCAAATCACATGCACAGCACATGCAGAGCACATGCCCATTACATGCAGAGCACATCACATGCACAGAGCACGTTACATATGAGCGCGTTCACACAAGACCCTCTGGCTCTGCTATCGTATGTGGCTCGCTTTCTATCAACCCACAACGGTCTAGCCTCTACTCTTCCTTCTTCCTCACCCTCTGTCTCCGCACTTCACCTCCCCCCTTCTCTTGCTCTCCGAGCCTCTCACTCGTCATTCCTCTTCCGCTTGTTTCCTCTCCAACACCCCACCTTCACCCAACCGATTTTGCTCACGTTCTCCCTTTCCCTCTCGCTCCCTGCCTCCCAACCCTTCTCCTCAGCAAACCGCAAGGTGACTCAGTGGAGGTGTTTCTTTCCGCAGAATAACCTGGAGTTTGTGTCAACACCCGTCTTCATCATCAACTCTATCAACGACTACACAGCCATGGATATCCTTAACTCCGCAAACAAGGCATCCAGTGCGTCCTCCTCCAATGTCCTACTGTGCCTCGACGAGCTTCGGCCGTCCGGAGGCACGGCAGGGTACGTTCCCAAGGCGGTGAAGCAGCCTCGGCGCAAGAATGGCAACGCCACGTGCTCCGCAGCAGCTCGGGACGCGCTCAAGCGCTACTCGGTGCGGCTGCAGAACCGCATTCAGAGTTTGGCTCGGCGGCGGCCGAACACTGACACGTTCCTGCTGGGCTCGGTGGCGCACTGCGTGACGATATACCCCACTTGGCTCAGTGTACAGCGCAAGGGGTTCTACATGCGCGCCGAAGTCTCGAATTGGTTGTTGAAAAACCAGAGCGTTCAATTAAGACAGCGGCGTGGAGGAGGGCACCGTGTGTAGCACCAAGAAGCTCGTATGTTGCAAGTTGCAACTCACATGATACTCGTGTAGGTTCGTAGGCATGGTATGCTAATTCTTGCCAGACCATAGCTGCACATGAAAGCGTCCTCCAGGCGCACAAACATGTGAAAGAAGCATACGCGTTTTAGTCCCGGTGTTAAAATTCTGGTGGGCATTGCCATCAGGATGCAGGACGTGGATTGTAGTACACGCTGTGTTCATAACAAATGTTGATGCCATGCTATGCCTTTATGGTTTTTATCTACCCCTTATTATCGTACGCAGTACTGTACCCACGCTGATATTGCGAACGTAATTAGGGTATGCTTAGTCGGTAGTGGGCAAGTTTTACAAAGCACCAGGGTCATGTAGCAACTGTTGGAGTATGAAAGGAATTACTTTCAGCATTCCCGTAGGTGCAGCAGTACCGCACCCGCCACTATCAAAGCAGCGCTAGCAGCAGTGTCGGATCAGCCTATTTTAAGGGCAGGAAGGTCAACAGTCGAAAGGTCAACTGTCGCGAATGTTGACCATCTGGACCGACGTTTGACCTACTGTCAAATTATATGCATGTCATATATGTGTAGGCTGTAGTGGGGTAGCCAATATGGGATACAACCCCATCAGGATTTCATATTTGTACCAAACCCTGATCTTGTCAATTCATCCCTGCTACCGTATGGCCCCGGATATAGGCGCCGTCCGATTAAAGGCGCCGGCGCCTCTATCTGGAGCATGGCGCTTATGGCCGTTCCTCGATTATAAGCGCATACCATTTTGTACCCGTACTTATTATAAGCGCCTACTTTAATACATTTCTTTTTTTTCAATTTAAGAAACTAACTACTAACATCACAAATTTTTTCATTATAAGTCTAGCACCAACAATTACATCCATCTACGATACTTCTAACTCAATGAACAGACCTTTATACAAGCCTTCCCACCAATGAACCAACTACCGTTCCTACTCCTCCTCGTCAGACTCAGGCTCCTGGCAGTTGTTGCCAAAGAAGCCATCAGCGATGATGTCGTCGTCGACATCCACTTCCGCGGTCAGCTGGGTCCGCCTGTGTGCCATCGCGAGGCCGTCCTCGCTGCCGTCAAGCGCGTTGCTAATGCCACAAGTGAGGAAGGCGCGCTTGATGAGGTCGGCGGGCACGGCCTTCCATGCCCGAGAGACCCATCGCAGGACCACTGCTGGGGGGGGCTTCTTGAGATTCCCTGCACGGACAATAACACCACGGACAGAGTTAGCGTTGCAAAGGGGAGGAGGAGTGGATAAACAAGCATATGCATCTACCGTAGCTTACAACGTACCTGCTGCTGTCAGCTGCTCCTGCCCCTCTTCTTGAAACCACTTTTGATACTGCTGGCGGATTGAAGCTTTGAAGCTTTTGTTGATAGAGACATCGAGGGGCTGCACCTCCGCCGTGCACCCAGACGGGATGACCGCCGGCACGCAGTTGAGCTCGCGGAACTTCTCCTTCACCCCCTCGGTGAGGTGACCACGGTAGCTGTCCAGCACCAGCATGGAGCTCTTCGCACACCTGCCGAACCGGGGCTTCAAGAAAGGCTTGACACACTCCTCAAGCCATCGGATGACGCCCTCCGCGTCCATCCACCCGTTCTCGTGGCACGCCACGACCACATCTGCACAGGCGTAGATGAACAAGATGTCAGTCGATTAAAGAGAAGATACAGAACACGACACAGTAATATAAACCATGACTTACCCGCCGGGAAATCGCCCTTCGGCACGGTCTTCCGCTTGAAAAACACCCAGGGCTTGAGCTTCACCCCGTCCGCCGTGCACGCGAGCATCACGGTAACTCTCTCCTTCTGGTACCCCGCACTTCTGATCGGCACCGACCGATTTGGTTTGGTCCACGGTGGTGGTCCACGGTGGTTTGGTCCACGGTGGTGGTCGCGGGCATCTCCAGCCAGAGCGGCGTCTGGTCCGCGTTGATGATCCACGCGGTGTCGATGCCGCGCTCACGGCGCTTTTCACGAACAAAGCGCCAGAAGTTCCTGCACTGCTCCGCGACATCTGTCACAAGGCAGACCATGGGGCGACACAACATGAACGTGTTAGTAACAATAAACGGCGCAGTACAAAAAATCTTATAAATACACGACATCTTACGGGCTGCGGTTTTCTGTGCCACCCGCGTCTTCATGCGCACGCTGAGATTCCATCGGCGCCGAAAGCGCTCAGACCACCGTTGGCTCCCCTTCCACTTCTCGGTTGGGAAGAGTTCCTTCATGAATTCACGAGACCATTCCTGCAGGCGGCCGACGGATACAGCGGTTCCTTTGCGACGCCACTCGAGGAGCCTCTTGTAGACCTTCAGCTCCATCGGCCGGTACCACGACGCTCGCCCTCGACCATGCATGCGCTTACGGGCAGAGTGTACCTCTTTGAGGAAGTCCGCAGAGCGCTTCCAGTTAGAGAGAAATTTGCGATGGATGCCGCTCTCGCGAGCCAACGAGCGCACCGAGACTGCAACATCAAGCAGCGCGACCCACTTCAACTTCTCGGCGACGGTGTAGGCCTGTCGCTTGTGCTCGTTCATCTTGTGCCTGGGAGAGGGGGGGCAGGCATCACGGTTCTGTGAAGCAGGGTGTGGTCGCTTGCGATTAAGCGGAGGAAAAGAGGGTATCGGGAGCTTCTCTGGAAGCCCGTCGCGTGACCAATACTCGACGCCGTCGTCATCGTCGCCGCCCGGAGCACCCTCGGGAAACACATCCTCAGCGGTGCCGGCCTCGGTGCCACCCTCCGTGCCACCCTCGCCGCCGGTGTTGCGCTCAGCGTGCCACTCCTCTTCGGCGTCAGCCACCTCGTCGTCTGCGCCGACAGCAGATTCATCCCAGTTGCAGTCATCGGGCTGTCCCCATCGTGGTGCCGGGGCCGGAGCTGCTACATACTCATCTTGGCGCTTGTCGCAGTCCGGTTCAGAGAGGTACTCATCGAACGCCGAAGGGAGAAGGAGCGTGAGCACGGGCTGATTGCCCGTGAACACAGGATGCACGGGATATGCAGGAGACGGAGGAACGGGAGGAGCAGGAGGAGCAGGAGGCGCAGGAGGCGCAGGAGGAGCAGGCGGCGCAGGAGGCGCAGGAGGTTGTGGTGGCTCTGGTGGGATACGGGAATACCACCCGTCAGCGTCAACTCTAAACGCGGGCCTAGCAGAAGGCTTCTTCTTAAACAAGAAATGGGTGCCAGTGAATTCCGCCATGGCTTCCGCAGCCTGGCGGGAAAGAACGAGAAACTGAATGAAAAACTGGATGAAAGATGCAAGAAATGAAAGAATGAAGGGGACCCCTTCGGCATGGCGCCTCGGGGTCCTCGTCAATGAACGAGGGTTGCCCCTCTGCCTGAACCCGCAGAGGAGGGTTCATGGAACCATCCATGCTGCGCTGGCAGGGCATCTTCTACCCCCTTTCTAGAGGGTTCGGTCGAGATGCTCCTGCCTGGCAGCGCATGACGACCTCATTGGGCCGCACGACAGGTTACGCGTCAGCGCTGGCAGGTGCGTTGCTCCTAGACAGGTTTTGTGTGGTGGGAATTCGAATCGCGGCAAGTTTCGCCGTGATTCCATGCACGATCCCATGCACACGTCACATCATTGTATTCGCCTTATTGAGAGCTTCAATTTGGTTCATTTGAATTCGAAAATCATTTTTGCCGTTATAAAAGTGCCGGCGCTTATGGCCGTTCCTCAATTACTAGCGCCACCCCTAAAAAAAATGATTTTATTATAAGCGCATATGCGCTACTATCCGGGGCCATACGGTACTAGATTCTAACATGGTTTCAGAGCACTAGGTCCTTAGGACCGTCTTTTTTTTTCCGGGCCCACCTACCGTTGCGGTTACCGCGCTACCCCACGTGTTGTCCTGCGCGCGCCTTTCCCTGCCTTGCCTTGTGATGTGCTGCGCTGCGCGCGCCGTCCTGCAGCCCTCGCGCTGCCTACTGTTGCCCTAGCTACGCGCGCACCGCCCTGCAGACCCGTAGGCCAGCACGCCGCCCCTGCAAGCCCGTAAGGCCAGCGCGCCGCCCCTGCAGGCCCGTAAGGCCCGCGCGCCGCCCCTGCAGGCCCGTCAGGTCCGCGAGCCGCCCCTGCAGGCTCGTCAGGCTAGAGCGCCGGCCCGCCCTGCAACCGATGCGGTCCCGCCAGGCCGCTTTCGCGGCCCCGCCTTGCCGCTGACGCGGCCCCGCCCTGCCCCTGACGCGGCCCCGCCCTGCTGCTGTCGCGGCCCCGCCCTGCCGCCGACGCAGCCCCGCCAGGTCGCTGTCGCGGCCCCGCCCTGCCGCTGACGCGGCCCCGCCCTGCCCCTGACGCGGCCCCGCCCTGCCGCTGTCGCGGCCCCGCCCTGCCGCCGACGCGGCCCCGCCAGGTCGCTGTCGCGGCCCCGCCCTGCCGCTGACGCGGCCCCGCTCTGCCGCTGTCGCGGCCCCGCCCTGCCGCCGACGCGGCCCCACCCTGCCGCTGTCGCGGCCCCGCCCTGCCGCCGACGCGGCCCCGCCAGGTCGCCGACGCGGCCCCGCCCTGCCGCTGTCGCGGCCCCGCCCTACAGCCGACGCGGCCCCGTCCTGCCGCTGTCGCGGCCCCGCCCTGCCGCCGACGCGGCCCAGCCTGGCCCCGCCCTGCCGCCGACACGGCCCTGCCCTGCAGCAGCTGCCGCGGCCCTGCCCTGCCGCTGTCGTGGCCCCAGCCCTGCAGCTGACGCGGCCCTACTCTGCAGCCGCTGTTGCGGCCCCGCCGTCGCCGCCGTCGTGCGCCTACCCTGCCGCCACCCGCCACTGGTGAGCACCTGCCCTACCCGCGCTTCCCGTACGCCTGCCTTGTTAGCGCGCCGCCGCGCTATCTGCCTGCCTGCCTGCCGCGCCTGCCCTGCCCGCGCTGCTCCTGCTGCTACAGCTGCTACTGCTGTTACTGCTGCTAGGCTGCTGCTGCTGCTACTGCTGCTACTACTGCTACTGCTACTACTAGCGG